TGATTTCATTATTATTATTGCGTATTATTGTTTACGAAAATTCCTCTCGATAAACTGTCAAAAACACTTTATAAATGCTTCCTTGCCACTTGCATATGCATTTTTAGCCCATCGGAATCCAAAAAATTACTGAAATGCCGCACAGAATCTAGCGAAGCTGAGGCACAAATTATCCTCACAGATACCAAGCCCACAGTATACACTTTCATAAGACGCAAACAAGAACTTTAGCTGCAGCGAAATTAGACCCAGAGGGGGCAGATCCCTGCTCCGAAGGAGGACAAACACCTGCAGTTATAGACACCGCTGGGGATGGGCCACGCCCCTTTCAATCCCACGCCCACACGGGAGTATAGGGACGGGGAATGGGAACCTGGGTGCACCTGAAGATGCTGCAGTGGCTGCCGAGCTGAGCTGCATGTGGGTGCATTGAAATAGTTCAACTACTTTTGCACAATGGGGACGCAGAGCAGGAAAATAAAATAAAAATGCTTGAGCTCTGGCGTTCTCGGGGGCATGGGGGCATGGGGGCATGGGGAACAACCAGTCCGAGTCTGAAGAAGATTTCAATGTAAATTGGCTGCCGTTGGGCAAACGCTGGTGCCACGGGAATGTGTCAGCGGCTTAGACAAATGGCAAGGGTAGGTATTGGGGAAAGAATGCCAGATAGAACGGGGTGGTGCTGGCGGAGGGATAGAAAGTTGTTGCACCGAAAACTTCTTTCCAGGTGGAGCTCCCACTCTGAAAGTTATTTGCACATTTTCTGAGAGCTCGAATTAGTTAAGGAGTCTTAAAGTTTGCCCAAAAAGGTGTTGAGTAGCGAGCTAGTTAAGGCATTAAATAATAAACACTGCAAAAGTGAGTCAATAGAATGGAGCACACTGTTGGTAAGTGGCAAGGAAGTTTCTATCGGATTTCGAGTCTTTGGTTGGCTGCAGCCAGCTGAAAGTTGGTTTCAATGGCTAAAGGGCGGCAAAAATAGGAGAAGTTTCGCCAAAGTAGTTATTCAATTTTGCCAACTCCGTTGTAGTGTGAAACTAAAGGGAATTCGCTGCTAGAAGTGAAATAACCACATAACTAACTTTTAAATTGCAATCTTCATTTATTAATACTGTATCTTTTTAAAATCTTTTCTAAAAATGGTTTACCCCCTTTCCTTTAACTTCAAAGCTGTTAAAAAAAACCATTGCATCGTGAATAGCTCTCTCCAAGATGTCATTCGTCTGAACCCCTAGTTATTTGCCCGACCAACAACGTCATACCCATGTAAATAATTGCCAACATGCGTAGTCGCTTTTGTCTAATACAACTTGGGATGGAACATGAATAAGTTCAGCAGACAAAACATGGCCGTGTATTATAAAATATTTGTTGTACATTTTTACATTTTTTTCCCCCCCCCAACAATATTATGCACTTATGGAAAGGTCGAGGCAGTGCGGCGCCAAAGAAATGCACAGGAAGGGGGCTGAAAAATACAAAAATAAAAAAAGTAGAAGGTGTCTGTGTGGCAAAAAGGGTTGCATAGATGGCTGGAATGGGTGGGGCTTGGCTCGGAGACCCGACCCTGAGCAATGCCCTCTCGCACACGATTCTTAGTTGACACCAGCTGGCTTCCCTGTCGCTCGTCTGTGCAGCTGTCGACATCTTAACATTCAAAAGCCAACAATGACAACGCCAAAGATGGCTGCAAATGGGTATGAGTATGGGTATGGGTATGAGTATGGGTATGGGTTTGGGTCTGGCTCTGGAACCGGGTCTAGAAGAGCGAGACCGAGGAGACTTGGGTGGTGGCGGAATTAGCAAAATGCAGCTACTTGCACGCAATTTGTTCGCCAGAAGTATAAGGTCTCTGGGCGTTGGCTGGAGCAACAGCCTGAAAGTGTGCTGGGCAAAAAAACTGAGCACTGGCTGGCTGGGAGAAAACGAATACGCGTTGACCATTTGCCAAGTGAAAAGACAGATCCAGCCGAATGATTTTTCACTCCAGCTTTTTCTACCCTCACTGGATAATGCGAGATATGTGTTTAAGCCACCTTACCCTGCCCAGCTGGCCACCTTATTCAGCGCATTTTTCCCCCAATATATTTGCCATCTGAATGGACGTGCCAAATGTTGGAGCAATAAGTTTTGCAGCCGAAAAAGAAATGTATATTACGTTTTAATATGAGTTCACCTAAATATTTAAAGAACGTGGGGTGCTGGTGTCTGATGTTCTTTAAATGAAAGCCCCTGATTAGTATAAGTAGACCAGTTGCAAAAAAAGGAAAAAAACTGACTGACGTCAAGTGTGTGGCACCTGTTCTGTTACCTGTCCTCTTCAAGTCGACTCTGTTCTGCTTCGGTCTGTCTGTCCTGGCCAAATCTGCTGGGTATTTTTAGCCACAAATGCGACTGGATGATGGGGCGGGCTACGACGACACATTCACACCTTCATTTGATGCCTTCTACTTTGCGGATTATAAACACCTTTTTCCCAGCCAAAGTGCAACTTAGCATTGTGGTTATCGCCTTTATTTCTGAGTAGCACCTATACTAGAAAGCACAGTCTTTGGAGTAAGTGCTCACGAAATAAATACCACATTAAATAAGCCCATGATAGACCTATCTGTAAACATATTATAATATATCAAACCCCATCTAAGCTATTTTCATTAATTTATTTCTATTTAACTTGCTTTAAAACGAGAATGTGGCAGGGTATCGCTGTATAAAATTCAGTGAAGTGTGCAACTTTCAAGCCACTTTTTGCAGAGTCATGTTCGCTACCATTGAATGTCACGATCCGTAAATTTATCCCAAGTGCAATTACAACATTGAGTAAGTGTCAACAAATTTTGGTGCTGCCATTCTGAGGATTCTTTTCTCTCTCGTTTTCTTTTTTAGTGGAAGGCAAATGCTTTTAGTGTAAAGACATTTTGCGCCGCGTTGTTGCATGTTTCTATTTAAAAAACCCAAACAGCCTTCAATATACTCAATACACATAGACATGCCCACTTGCCCTCCATCTAGCCATCCATCTCTCTCGCTTTAGCCGCCTCTGCCCTCTCGCTTGCACAATGTCAACGTCAAAGTGCAAGTGGCATTATGGCAAAGAAGTCAACATCGCACAGAATGTGGGAGTGGATGGGTGTGTTTGGCTAGTGGGTGGTGTGGCTAAAAGGAAAACGAACCAAACAGAGGCACTGTGCGAAAAAGCTATGCCGTTCGTAATCTAAATGCAGGACACCAGAAGAAGATGTTTTAAAAATGTCGATAAATATGCAAATCCTAATAAATTTTTGATTATGCTGTATGGCATATGTGTATGTATAAATAAATTAATATCCAAATAAATTAGTTTTAAAACAGTTTGAAAATGTCCTTACTTACAAATAGCAATCAAGGACTAAAGTAATAAAACATGATAAGGGTACATGAAGTGAATTGAAAATATCGCATCAATTCTGAAAAAGGCCAAAGTGCCAGCTCTGTTCGAAAATGAATGGCACCAAGTGCAGGGGGCGTGGCACGGACTTTTTTCCGCCATTAAATGCAATTTTAAAGTCAATTTTAGCTTGCAAACGAATGCAAATAAATGCTGTCAGCGACAGGACGCGATTAGTGGGAGGAAAGCAGAGAGTGAGGTCCTTAAAGGTTCCAGGCTGCAGTGGCAACAGCTCAGTTAGAACGGCATTGACAGGCGTTGATAGATATCAAATTAGCAACGGCGATTGCCGTTTGTCTGTCTACAAATTATTACGCATACGCCTCCGAACAAAGTGGAAAATGTGTTGCGTGCGTGCCTGTGTGCGTACGATGTACGAGTATTTGCGGCATCTGCAGCTCCCTTTATGTTTACAGGCAATTAGCATTTTAATGCCGCACCAAACAAAGGGCAACTGCAGGTGCCCAACCGAGTGATGTGATGCGATGCGATGCGATGCGATGCAAGGCCAATGGTGGCAATGTTGGGGACTGGGAAGGATGGTGGCTGCACATATATGCAGGGGTGGCATAATAACGTCGATGGAGGTTGATGCTGAGGCGAAGGGCAGGGACCTGCGGAGGTGCTCGGCTGGTCGCGCTCAAGTTGCTTTTCATTATTTTTCATGTTCGACATGAGCGCAAATTGTCGACGGCAGGCAAAGGGGTCCAAATACTATAACAGTTGTAGTTAGTACGCAGATCCCAGCCAGAGTCGATTAATCCAACCCGACTTCTTAAGAACTTACTTTTTCAATTTGATAGGAAAGCCCTTCTTTAGCTTTTAACCCTTAATAATAATTCGAAACTTACAAAGGCTTATCAATTAGATACTATAACAGTTGTAGTTAGTACGCAGATCCCAGCCAGAGTCGATTAAACCAGCCCGACTTCTTAAGAACTTACTATTTCAATTTGATAGGAAAGCAGTTTTTAGGTTCTAAGCCTTAATAATAATTCGAAATTTACAAAGGCTTATCAATTAGATACTATAACAGTTGTAGTTAGTACGCAGATCCCAGCCAGAGTCGATTAAACCAACCCAACTTCTTAAGAACTTACTATTTCAATTTGATAGGAAAGCCGTTTTTAGGTTCTAAGCCTTAATAATAATTCGAAATTTACAAAGGCTCATCAATTAGAAATCAAACAAGCTAAAATAAATCATAACATTTTCTGCAGTTCTCTAGCTTACAATACAAATGATATGTTTACACTGAACTATGTGCATAGATTTACGGCTTTGATTTCCTTTAAGTTAAATAAACAAGATAAACATTATTGACTTTCATTAAGATTTACTTTTAATTATATTATTGTACACTTGTATATACTTATATAGGTATTTTATGCGAATTCTCAAAGTGCCTAAGAAATGTTAAAGTTAGTTAATTTTTAATAAACAAAAACCCCGCTGTAAATTGTGTGTTTTGATTTTTATTTTCTATTGTAACATATGCATATTTGTTTACAAAATTAGAGGGTGTACACACCACCTGCATTAGCAGTTGTTTATCGACAAATAGCCACACAAATTTCAATTAGAAACAGTTGTCCATATTTTATAATATTTATTGAAGTGTTTGGATTGCACTGTGAACTTTTATATACTAATGAATAAAACTAGCTTTCGTTTAACGATTTCATCCACGTTGATGCTGCCGATTTACACAGTTTAGGTGGCTTTGAATGTTATTTACGTCGATCACCAGGTTCCCATTTTGGGTATAAAACCCACCGCCACATCCTTGAGGCGCTGCCATGCAACATCCAACAAAGAGGCAACCAATTAGCAGGAGGAATACGAAGGTGCGCGAATCCATTTCAATGTGAACTGTTTGTTGCGCTTAGCAAAGAGATACTGCCCACCCATATCAGCTTTAGACCCAGAGTATATACGAATATAATCCAATCGGGAGATTCCCAGAACGAATCGCAACGTAATACAAGGTATCAGTTATGGCAGATCTCTCCGAGCTCAAAACACGTTGCTTACGGGGAGGGAATTCCAATTTAATCTAATTATTAACCCAGTTGTATTAACAAGTCAACAGAATATTTTGCTTTGGGCCAACTAGCAATTATAAGCCGTCATAGTGTAACTACCCCTTAAGCAACGCCTCTGGTAATCTTATCTTGTCCGTCAGCTTTAAGTCAATAAACCGGTAATATTCATCTATAGATTATGAAGTGGGCATCGCCCAGAAACTGCTTGTACATATACAGCATAGCCAATGCACATGTTGTATTTCTGGAAAAAAACTAAATAACTACGATCGCATCATGACAAAGTTAAAACTGCCTGCACATTTCACGTTCAACTTTAATTTTTTCTTTAAACGATAAGTTTTGCAAGTTTGAACTTCTGACTGTATTCAATATAATTAATATACAAATATATTATCGTTTGTTGGTGACTGTTTATGATGCTGTCACGTCCGTCGTTGTTTTTCTTATAAGTTGATTTTTAATTAATGATGCTTCGTATGCGTTTTACTTCTGGGCCAAGGAGAAATCTGGGAAAATCTGCGTAATAAGTGTGTGGGTGCCTGATGTCCGCAAGAAATTTATTATTGGACCAAACAAGCCAAAACAAATTTAATCGATATTATGCGGAAAAATTATTTATATATTCCCATGCGCTGTATTGAGCTGATTAAAACGTTTAATTGATAAGCCAAGACTCATATTCTTTTATATATTTATTAATAAAGTTGTGAATAATTTCATAATACTGTGAAAGATGTAAATATTACATTGTTGGGACCAAAAAGGTCCCCGAAATAGATCACTGAAGCAAGGATTTGGTGAACTCGGAACTAAAAATTGCTGTTATGTGCTACTTTTGAAAACCTATGGCATGTGTTACAAATAAACATTTGCATGCATGTTTCTAATTAATTTAAGATACTTTAACAGCAATTTTGGCAACAGAATGGAGTGTTCATTACTAACGTTAATTATAATTAAATTAAATGGATGCGAGAAGTTCATGCTGTTGGGCATATAAAACAATTTCCCATTAGAGGCTCAGGAAGAAACTTTCCAGCAGACGAATTGCCTGACATCGAAGACGAATGACTAAAGGCAGGGAAAGGAGTTGAAAGAAATGGAAAAGCCCTAGGAGAGTTTCCTATAACGAAAGGAGAAACTTTTCCGAAGCAATCAATCAAAATGATTCGCTTGAAATACACGGAATCAGTTTTTATAAAGCCATTGAGATTAAAGAGCTAAAAAATATGGTAAATGGTACACTTTATATATAACATATAACATTTATCTAAGATAAAGTAGAAACCAGTGAGAACGCTGAAGTCGATTTATCTGAATATCACATAGCCAAACTCAAATTTCAATATTTACCATTACCATCTCCTATAGTTTTTCCACACAGCAAGGCATAACTCAACTCGAAATCAATCTGCACACATAAATAATTATATACTCCCATAGATATATATATATATATATACATGTATATATTTATGCGATAATGCTGAAGTCGTTTTTCATCTCATCAACAAGTCCGCTGAATATTCTGTTCTTAGTTTATTTCGCGACGTTGACTTGGATGGATTTAATGTACGGAATTATTTCAATAGTGTCCCTCATCCTGGTCGCTGGTCAAGTCCAGTCGCAGGACAAGGAATATGTCCAAGGCTGCGGTGGATCACGGACTCACTATTGCGTCCCACGACATTTGTGCAAAGTCAAAATTGAGTTTCGAATGGCTAGTGAAATCAGAAACCTAGGATGTGTTTCCACAGCGCTTTGCTGCCCCAAGAACCAAATAGTAAGCAGTAAACTAAAAATGAATATTTTATTACCTGCCCAATTTTATTTATTAACTCCGGAATAAGGAAAATTTAGAAAATAGCCTTTTAATCCTGTATGTTAAGTGTACTATAAATCCCAACAGTGAAATTGAACTGATCTTTATAGGGTCACCTGTTACATGCCTTTCAGCGAAAATAGTATAAACCAGAAAAATTGGCCTCTAAAGGGTAATTCCATTCATTCATTCTAATTTCAAATGTATTATATTTATTATTCCAGAACAACGGGCCACCCTTGGTCAGAGTGGAGCCGATGGTTAATCCCCCTTGCGGATTCATCAACCGGAATGGTGTAACCTTCTCAATTAGTGGCGACACGACGTTGGCCCAGGAGGCGGAGATACCTTGGATGGTGGCCTTGCTGGATGCCACAACCCGCAACTACGTGGCTGGTGGCTCCCTCATCTCTCCACATGTAGTGATAACGGGCAGGCAAAGGATTGAAAACATGAATGCCGACCAGCTTGTTGTGCGGGCTGGCGAATGGGACTTTATGACCACCACCGAGCAGCTGCCTCATGTGGATGTTCCTATTCGGTCGATCGTCCGTCATTCTGGCTTTAATTCAACGACCGGGGCCTATAATGTGGCCCTTGTATTTCTCCGCACAACGCTTGATAAGTCCCGCCACATAAATCCAGTATGTATGCCTACGGCTATAGAGAATATTGACTTCCGCTCCTGCATATTTACCGGCTGGGGTAAGCAGTCCTTCTATGATTCCAACTTCATGAATGTCATGAAGAAGGTGTCATTACCGGTGGTCCCAAACGATATCTGTCAAAACCAACTTCGCAAATTTTTCGGATCCGACTTCGTACTCGACAACAGCCTGATGTGCGCAGGCGGGCAGCCTGGAATGGATTCATGCTATGGTGATGGTGGATCTCCGCTAGCCTGCCCGATGCTAAGCAATCCGGATAGCTATGCACTGGCTGGCATTGTGAACTTCGGCATAGATTGCGGATTGCCTAACGTGCCGGGTGTGTATACAAGCGTGGCCAACGTTCTCGAGTGGATAGGTACGGAAACTCAGAACGTCCCAATGCCTGCAGAGCGAGAGAAGGTTCCTTATACAAAAACAATCATTTTTGATGGCTCGCAATATAATCAGTACAATCAACCGAACTATAACCCGACAGGCTCTCCAAGTAAACTTGCCGACAGCAGTTTTGATACGAAGCAGCCAATTCCTTATGTCCCTGCTGAAAATGGCTTACCGATTGAATATAGAAAGTATGATAATAATCAAAAAAATATTAAACCCGCTAGGCAAGACATAGATGTTTTTTTTTCAACCACAATGGAATACGATTTCGACAATTAAATTTGTATAATAAATTTGTTATAAATGGTGCGAAAGTCTTTAAAGGAAGTGAAATACGAACTGAAATATGAGCGTTTTCGCCAGAACTAGTATTTATAAAAGATAATAACAAATGTATTAATTTATAATAATTAAAAATAAGTTTTCTACAGTTGTCAATCTATTTCTTTCTTTTAATTTTCAAAAGAGCGTTAAAGAAAAGTTTTACCTTTTTATACCCGTTATTCGTAGAGTATATCCTTTTACTACTAGATTCGTATTTTTTCATTTTTTTATTAGTCTTGTAAATTTCTATCGATTTGCCAAAAATATTTTTGCCACGTCAACTCTACTGCCCACAAACCACAAACAATATTTCTTTTCATTTCTTAATTTTATTCGCAATTTTTACCGATATTACAGAAAAATATGAAATTTCGCTTTCGCACTTCCACTAGCTGAGTAATGGGTATCTGATAGTCTGGGAACTCGACTAAAGCATTCTACCTTGTTTTGTGTGTTATTAATGCAAGAACTTAGTTGATGTTAGATGGATTTGCTCTTCCTTAGCTATTCAGAACCAATTGATTTTTGTATCGACAACTCACTGCGTATTATTAACCCATCGTGGGCCGTGCAAATTACCCGGATAGTGGGGGACTTCATTGACACGCAGTCTACACAGCGGAGTACCACAAAGAGAGACAGACCGCAAGGACCGCAGAATGGGGCTGTCCTCGGTGGCGTGGGCGTGGGCGTGGCCGGCAGTTAGTCCTTTTGCCAGGAGCGGAGCACGCACACGCAGCAGCTGCGGGCACCATCAAAAACTTGGGATTGTGGCGGGCGCACTTTAAATTCAATTTGGCGCCGACCCCACAGATTCACCACCGCCAGTACCACCATCGCAATCAGACTGGCCCCACGGCAATTTATTGTTTTCCACTTTACGCCAGTGTCCCACTGGAGACGATGTCCTGTGTCCGCGTGTTATTGTTTTGTTGTGTTTTTTAGTGCTCCCCCCACCTTTAAAGTTGAGAGTTGGAGTGCCGTCGCCATTCCCTTGAGCTTTTGAGAGATTGAGCCACTTGTCAATTGTAGGCACATCCGATGAACAGAAAGTTTGCGCTTGGTGCAGTTAAAACAAAAATCGGAACACAATTTCTTCATTGACACATCGCGAAAGGTTAATCGTCTTTAGTAGCTGTGCTATTCATTTGAATAAGAGAATGACGATCTACTGACACTAAATTAGTATTATTGTTAATTAACTTTTACAAAACAAAAAACACGTTTTAAAAAAAAAAATCCTAACAGAACTTCTTTCAAACCCAAAAGACATTCAAACCAATCTATCCAATTCCTATTTTTCAATTTGTTAAACTCTATACTCCTTAAAAAAATTCGGCAAGTGTACAAGAGCAGGAGGTTTGGAGATTTGAGGGAAGAGTCGAAGGTTTTCACTTACCATGACAGCATTGCGCTTGAAATCCATAAAGTTCTTCACCTCGGCGGCCAATTCACGCAGAAGGATAATACCATCCTTGCGCTTCACTTCGATTTCGGTGTCCTTGAAGCGCTGTAAATGAAAAAACGAAATCATCAGATACACAATTCTCAGTACATTCTACAGGCATAAACTATAAAAGTGATGGGCGCCGGTTCGCGAAAGCAAAAAAGGGTTAAGGGGCCATAAAACTTTTGCGCTTTCTTATTGTCCAACATAAAAGGTTGATGTACCTCGGAAATGGCAATCTGAACGTGAAATTACTTAAGTGGGCGGAGTTTCTATGGCTTCAGGCGACTCTCAAACTGATACTAAATTGATTTTAATGTATCTTATTAATTAAATGAGGTTTTCATTAGATAAAGGCGGGGCTACGGTGCCATTCTCAAAGTGCCGTTGGTCATAAAATGAAATACAAGTCGATCAAATTAAGAAGTTTAACTAACCACTGAAATTTAATTGATTGTAATCATACATTTATTTCTCTACTAAATATAAACTACATATAAACTGCATATATTGAAAGCCATGCATAAGCTTTCGCAACTGCGTATATAACTCTTATTATCACAATTCATTGCACTTATCCCCATAACACTCACTCAAATGGAACTTTCGCTAACTGAAGTGAGACACGCACACATTCTAGTTTCAGATTGAAGCAGAGGCACGCATTTGGTGGCCAAGTTAGTGGCCCCAGCATTTTGCCCTGATTTTCCTCACCAGTTACTACAGCCAGCACACGCACGCGAAGATGCCCATCGCCATTTTAATGATTTTTCTATTGAACGTGTTGTCATCTGCTTTAATGGAAAATTCTGAATGAGTTTTCCTCTCCGTTAGCTTTTCTCCCTGATGAATTCCCATAATCATAATCGAAAGAGTAGCAGGCAAATGGAAGAGAAATGGGCAACGCAGGCAAATGCATTTTATGACTTTTCCATTTATTTAAGTGCCACAAATTAGCAATTTAGAAATGGAGTTATACGGGGGCGTTGGCCACGCCCATTTCAAATTGTCACTTTTCAAACAAACTGTCAGTTAAATTATATTTCTACTGCAGCGCGAAGAGAAAGAAAAGAAGGACGCAAAGTCCTGTGTGCGTCTGTACATGTCCCAAGCGAATTAATTAGGAAACTTTTCTTAACTGATTCAGTGCCAGCAGCAGCAGCAGACAAGAAACTGCTATGAAACTGGCTATGAATACATATACATTCCAAAAAAATATATTATATTATTTTACAAAACTTAAGCATTTACCCAAGCTAGACATCCAACCAATCCATTTAACAATTTTGTAGGAAACACTTAATTTTTATAATTTGTTTGGTACGAACATCAGATTACTTAGGCATCATTTTCAGCACACTTCAATAACAGAAGCCATTTGGCTAAATTGTAAGTGTACCATAACTTTTTCTCTGTGCACACTTGTAAGTGTAAGTGTGAATGGAACACACACACGCTGCAAATACTTGAGGCCTGAGCCAAAATCCAACCATGTACCATTTGAATGCTTGTGTGTGACCACAGAACTAAAACTGCAGGAAGAAGTCTCTTTGAGGCATTCATTGGTGGACCAAAAAAAAATATCACCCACAAAAATTGTGCAAAAAAAGGCAGTATTACTGGCACAAGGAGCTTATCACTCGCTTTGTCTTACTTGTAATACCACTGAGCATTATACATGCCGACTCCAATGGACTCACATGTGGGAGCTTTAAAGTGGCGCGTACTAGGGAAATAATTGAATTTTCGAAATCATTAATAAAGATCGCTTCAAGGGATAATCAAATTAGAAGTTCAATGCTGGCTACACATCAAAATTGAGCCAATTTCAAGCACTTTTCTTTTGTACAAGTTAGCGATCCTCCAAACTTTTAACCGCAAAGATGATTTATAGCAGTTGCAAAAACCATTAGCAAACTATTTCCAATTCAAAGCCAATGGTCAAAAAAGGAGTAGAGCAAGGTTAAATCGAAAAGGCAATCCATTGAAAATTAAAAGAATGTCAAGCAAGAAGCCGAAGCTTAACAAAAAAAATTAAAAAAAAAGAATCAATGAAGGAACAAGTTTCTACTTCTATATTGTATGTATATATCTGCGGGACGGGCAAGATATTAGCCACGACTGCACGGGCCACGCCCACAAAACCTCACCCAACTTTCATGCGATGGCAACATTTTATAAAGCAATTTCCACGCGAGCAACATCGAAATGCAATGCACGCCTGAAGGACACACGCATGTAAGTGTGTGTGCTGTGTTTGTGTGTGTGTGTAACAGTGTCCTGTCACGATGGGAAGTACCGGGAGTGTGGCGGCGGGGGGACTGCAGGGATGGTAGCACAAAAAACTATATACAATATGTATACAATATGGGTAGCACTCGAAGAGCGAGAACAGCAGCAGCAGCAGCAGCAGCAGCAGCAGCAGCAGCCATAGAAAGTTTTCATATTGCGGTTGACTCTGGAAAATGTTGCGCAAGGAGGAGCCCTCCAGCGGACCTCTGCCAACCGCACCACCCACCGTACTCCTCGCCCAACCACCCACCAGCGGGTGCGTATGCAGCTGGTGCAGAATTTTAACTGGAGCAAGGACATCCGGGGAGGGGGGGAGCATTCCTGAGCTTTGGCTTCTGCTCCTGTTGAATTCCATCTTAAGTTAAGCAGCTTACGCATGCAGCAGCAGATGCAACAGCAGCGTCGGCTACCTGGACCTGAACTCTGGCAGAGATGCAGAGCTCAGATGCAAATTTCAAACTTCTTTTGCACTGAAACAAACAACAAGGACTTCAAAGGCATCTGTCGCAAGAGTTGAATGCACTTACATATAAATATGTGTATGTGTTCAATGAAATTCATGTTTCAAGAATTACTTTATTTGAATGAGTGATAACACAGCTTATCAAACTATATTCTCAGATTCAAGAAATTGCATTAGTGTACCCTCTTTCATAACTTCTCTATACAGCGTTTTCAAAAGAAAGACCAAAGAATAATTTCATTTCCTAAGCTTATCAACGATTAATTAACGAGCAGCACTCAAAGCGGCTTGCGTTGAACATAATGTGTATAATTGTGTATGCTTAACACGGTTAATATATTTTTTTAAGCCATAGGCTCTAAATATTTCGTAAGCGAAATGTACTAACTAAAGCGATATCATTAAAGTTAGCATTCCCTCCAGTGCATTTGACTTTCGCCCTGGCTTCCTCTTGTCTGAGTTATAATGCTCCAAAGTGCCACCACGGGCTCCGAAAGCGGAGCAACTCTTTGGTCTGGTTTGGCATTTTGTGGCCTGGTCTGGAAATGCGCTAATTAGATTTTAATGAAGATGTCGCTGTCGCTGCTCAACTCCTGTTTGTAGCGCCAACGAGTCTTGGGGCCCCAAACCTTCGGAAAAGCGAGCAACAATGTCTCGCATCAACGCGCATGTTTCCCTGTTCAGTGAAGTACAGATTTCTTGGACTAGTTTTCAGCACAGCCATGTTTTTATATTTTACTTCACTTTTTGCAT